CGGGGCGCGCAGGCCCACTACCAGGCCGTGTGCCGCGCACTCTTTGTGGAGACGCTGGAGCTCCAGGCCTTCCTAGCCAGGGTGCGGGAGGCCAAGGAGGTGAGCTTGGGAACACAGTGCTGAAGGTGGGGCCCGCGGATGGCCAGACCCAAGGGGATCTGGGGGGTGACTAGTGGGTACTTGCCCCTCGGTGGGAGTGCCCCAGCTGCTCTGGGCTGTGTGCTGAAGCCTCATACATTTTGGCCAGGTTTTTGGAGAAGGGAACCAAGGCCTAGGGAGGCAGTAACTGGCTCCCAGCCTCTGCCCGAGCCTCGTTCCTGCTGCCTTAAGCCAGCTGCCATGATTCTGTGAAGGAGTCCTGCTTGCTGCCCCCACYTGCTCCCCAGGTCCCAGTTTCTCCTGAAGACAATGCCCATGGCAGCCCCTTCCCACCTCTCAGAACCACACAGATCCTTCAAGTGGGGTGGGTGGGCAGTTCCGTGGGGGTACCTGTGGGTATGTGCTGTGCCTAGCCTTGCTCTCCAGGTACCCCTCTAAGGTTGGGCCCATTTTGCAGGTGGGCAGATGTAGGCTCTGGGAGGCTGGATCCTTGCCGGGAGCTGAGAGCCAGTATAGGGCAGGGCTGGTCTCCCTGGGCTCCCAAGCCACAGTTCTCCTCTGGGGCTGTCCTGATCCCCCTGGACCTCAGGGATGGTGTGCAGTCTGCTCTCCCAGCTCCCAGCCCCTCCTGAAGGAGTTGGTGCTGTTCAAAGGGAGCTGATGGGTTTGTTTGGCAGTGTCCTAAGTGCAGGGACCCTGGGCCCATCAGCTTTCCACAGAGGAGAGAGGGGTACCTGGAGAGGTCAGAGAGATTGGCTGCACTCCTTTGCTTAGGTGTTGGAAGGTAGTTTGGGAGTTAACTGGTATGGTCCCTGACTCCACCCTCACTTTTCTGGGTGCTCTTTCCTTCGAATACAGAGGGGTTCTGGGTAGCTTCACTGACCCTTGGGTCCTAAGAAAAGGCTGGAGCTGCCAGCCTCCCCTGCAGCTCTCACRTGCCGAGATGGGGAGGTTACCAGCCCGTGCCCAGTTCCTGTGGTCATCCCACCTTCTCTCCAGCTCTTCCTTGACATCCTAGGGGTGTTCTCCCGACTCCACAGACAGTTGGTGGTCCTGATGATTTCCTCCTTCCTTGAACTTAGCCTGTGTCTTGTTGCTCAGTTTCTCACCCAGACAGCAAGGCTCCTGTTTCAGCAGGAGCACACAGCTCTGGACGTCGAGCTGTTGGCCTGAAGTTCAGGGACCTGGTGGTAGGGGGCACAGAGACAGGTCCCTCGGTGGGGTGCAGCTGTGCTAGTCTAGGCGGGCATTTTGGAGAGAAGCCGCCTGCTCAGGATGGGAGAGCCACCCTCCTGCCCTGTGCCACTGGGCTGGCCAGGTCCCACCTGGGGACTGCTATCAGAATGGCATGCCTTGTGCTTCTCTGAGTTGGCAGTACTTCCTAGAGTGTCTCAGAGCCTTTTGGCAAGTAGTTTGGGGTGCAGCCAGGGTAACCGGTTCTGTCTTGGTCAAGAGTGGCTGTGGACTGAAGGGCAGATGCTTCTTCAGGACAGGGGAGTCAGAGCAGTCAGGCTGCCACTGAGATGCAGGGCAACC